GTAATCATATAATCAGTTCGGTACACAAAGTTTGCTAACAGTTGCAAAACTTACAATAGCTCACGGCACTTCCAGATCAGATCAGCCCAGCACCTAACAAACAGAGAGTGACTTAACAGACATTCTGGCTCCCTCTTATGGCTGATTGAGGAAAACAGCAATCAATCACATTTTACAGTATGGTTTAAAGAAACAGTTACACCATTGTTACATGATTTATATATTGCCAACCCAACCGTTAGAATCATATTCCTAACAGTATCCCAAAGGCAAGCAACACGAGCACCTTCCCCCCCCCCCCCGGCTCCCATGGCTTGGTGCCTTCGGGATTCCACTAGGTCAGTGAATGGTGCTCTGCCTGGCTGGAGAGGGGGGGGGTGTTGTCCAGGGAGCTTATTTTTGGGGGTGGCCTTATATTTTTGCCCACGCGAAAATGTGGCAAGGTGTTAGTTTCAGAACAGGTCGTATTTTTGGGGAAACACGGTACTAGGTAAAAATGAGGGAGCAGTGTAACACACACACACACACACACACAAAATTCTGGGTTTCATTAACAGTGGCATTGCATCCAGATTGTAGGATTAATCTGTATTGATCAAGCTGCAGTTGAACTACTTTGTTCAATGCATTTCAAAAGGGACATGGATCAGCTGGAACAGGTTCAGAGGAGAGACCAATGCCTCCAAGGACTATCATAATGAGCTGGGTATGTTTAACTTGTAACAGAAAAAAAATGAAGTGGAGATACAATTGCAGTCTACGGGTATAGACAATTTTAGATTTATGACCACAGTTGGGACCAGAGTTTCTGTTGCTAAGCAACGTAGTTAGTAACTGAGTCACATCTGATTTTAAGACCTTTCTGCCACAAATGCGAAGCAAATCACTGTGCTTGTTAAGTGAATCATGCAGGTCATTACACGAATCCAGCTTCCTCCATTGACTTTGCTTATCTAAAGTTGGCTGGGAGGGTCACCGGTGGCAATCAAATGACCCTGGGATGCGGCAACTGTCATAAATACATGTACAAATTTTGATTACGTGACTGTGAGGATGCTATGACAGTTTTAACAGTGAGAACCAATTGTAAGTCACTTTTTATAGTGCTGTTGTAACTTTCACTGGGCACTAAACTAATGGCCATATGTTAAGGCCTACCCTCCTCTTAAAGGTTGTCACGTGCAAGAAACATCAGAGATATTCTGTGTTGAAACTCAAAATATAATAGGTCAAGTCACTAAATTAAAAAATGAAATTTAGGGTACATATTAACAGACATTTCCAGGAAGGGCTGTTAAGCAGTAGAATAGTCTGGTCTTGCTAGAAATTTTCAAATGGCAGTTCAACGGACAATATTCTGGAAAGGTTTAATAGTTTTCCTCAGGAAACAGGAAAAGCTCTACAAGATCCCTTCCAATGCATACGTCTCTATGCCAGCATTCAGCAGTTTTCTAGTACTAACTCAAGGTTCTGTAAAGATCTGGGATATATTGGCTAATCTTAGAAAGCTAAGCAGGGTTGGACCTGGTTAGACTAGACTGGAAAGTTAAAATTAACATCCCAGGAGAAACCAGTGGTAAACCACTTCTATATTGTTGCCAAGAAAACTAAAGGGATATATTCATAAAGTCACCAGAAGTCAAACTTTGCTTGGAAGACATGGTGTATTTGTACAGATATAGAATTTGCTTGGAATCATGTCATTTTGCATCCTGGCTTTGAAGAAAAACTATGGAACTATGAGCAGAATCTGGGAGGTGGGGGGATCCACCCTAAAATGTTTGCTAAACCTTTTGATGATTTAATATAGTTTTGAGGCTTTAAATCAGAGGTGGGTTCCTACCAGTTCTCACCTATTTGGTAGAACCGGTTCATCAAATCTACCGAACCGGTTAGAAGAGGTTCCATCAGTGAACCCGGAAAGCAGGCCACACCTACAGAAGAGGTTCCAAAAATTTTTGAAACCCACCACTGGTCCTTGGATATGATTATTCTACACTATC